GAACACATGTAAATCCATGGCTGATTCATGTCAATGTATGGCAAAAAACCACTAGAATATTGTAAAGTAATTAGCCTCCAACTAATAAAAATAAATGAAAAAAAAAAAAGAGGGAGCAAGTGGAAAGAAGAAAGGAGTTGTTTTAAAATCCATGAGTAATTATAAGTCTTGTCTTACTAAGTCACTATTTAAAAGCCATTTCTTATCTTCAATATCTCACTTGACACTTAAGACAGTTCTTTAGTTGTGCAGATAAAATAGTATACTTTTTATAAGATTCACATAACTAGTTAATGGTGATCTTTAAGATTTTTTTTAAGACCTTTAAGATTTTTTACCATAGTTTTCTAGACTCTCAGTCTTTCTTGACCAACGACCTGTGTTCTAGATCTACTGTCATTCTAACTATTCTTTTATAAACATGATGCTTTTGTTGTTGTTCTTGAAATATGGTGTCTAAAACTGCACATAGGATTTTATGAGCTCTGAAAGGCACAGAATATATCAGGGTTATTGCTTCTTTCACTCTAGATACTGTTGCTGTGGTAGACCCAGATTGCATCAGCACTTTTGAGAGCCATCAGTTCAATTCAGTTCAGTAGCTCAGTCGTGTCCAACTCCATGGACTGCAGCACGGCAGGCTTCCCTGTCCATCACCAACTCCCGGAGTTGACTCATATCCATCACGTCAGTGATGCCATACAACCATCTCCTTCTCTGTTGCCCCCTTCTTCTTCCGCCTTCAATCTTTCCCAGCATCAGGGTCTTTTCAAAGGAGTCAGTTCTTCACGTCAGCTGGCCAAAGTATCAGAGTTTCAGCTTTAGCATCAGCCCTTCCAGAGAATATTCAGGATTGATCTCCTTTAGGATGGACTGGTTGCATCTTCTTGCAGTCCAAGGGACTCTCAAGAGTCTTCTCCAACACCACAGTTCAAAAGCATCAGTTCTTCAGCACTCAGCTTTCTTAATAGTCTCTCACATCCATTTATGATTACTGGAAAAACCATAGCTTTGACTAAATGGACCTTTGTTGGCAAAGTAATGTCTCTGCTTTGTAATATGCTGTCTAGGTTTTCTTCCAAGGAGCAAGTATCTTTTAATTTCATGTCTGCAGTCACCATCTGCAGTGATTTTGGAGCCCCCAAAAATAAAGTCTCTCACTGTTTCCAGTTTCCCCACCTATTTGCCATGAAGTGATGGGACCAGATGCCATGATCTTAGTTTTCTTAATGTTGAGTTTTAAGCCAACTTTTTCACTCTCCTCTTTACTTTCATCAAGAGACTTTAGTTCTTCACTTTCTGCCATAGAGTGGTGTCATTTGAGAGACATAGCAGTACTAATGATAGCTAAGCTTTTTGGACCACTCACAGTGTTCCAGGTAAAATGCTAAGCATTTGATATGTATTAATGGTATATCATTTTATCTTTGTTATAATCTTATGAGGTGCAAGCTATTATGAGTCTCATTTTAAAGGTATGGAGAATGGGGCTTAGAGAATTTACTTGCTTGGTACCTTAGAGGTAGAATTCTAACTCATATCTGTCTGACATTATCACTGTGTACTCTATTTATATCCCATGTCGTAGTAACTACCATACTGCTGAGTTTGCTGTCAGTGAAGTGTCTAGAGGCTTTAATGTCAGGTAATATTAAATCATGGGAAATAGATGGGGAGACAGTGGAAACAGTGTCAGACTTTATTTTTTGGGGCTCCAAAATCACTGCAGATGGTGACTGCAGCCATGAAATTAAAAGACGCTTACTCCTTGGAAGGAAAGTTATGACCAACCTAGATAGCATGTTAAAAAACAGAGATATTACTTTTCCAACAAAGGTCCGTCTAGTCAAGGCTATGGTTTTTCCAGTGGTCATGGATGTGAGAGTTGGACTGTAAAGAAAGCTGAGTGCCGAAGAATTGATGCTTTTGAACTATGGTGTTGGAGAAGACTCTTGAGAGTCCCTTGGACTGCAAGGAGATCCAACCAGTCCATCCTAAAGGGGATCAGTCCTAGGTGTTCATTGGAAGGACTGATGCTGAAGCTGAAGCTCCAGTACTTTGGCCACCTCATGTGAAGAGTTGACTCATTGGAAAAGACCCTGATGCTGGGAGGGATTGGGGGCAGGAGGAGAAGGGGACGACAGAGGATGAGATGGCTGGATGGCATCACCGACTCAATGGGCATGAGTTTGAGTAAACTCCGGGAGTTGGTGATGGACAGGGAGGCCTGGCGTGCTGCAATTCATGGGGTCACAAAGAGTTGGATGCGACTGAACTGAACTGAACATAAAATCAGATTTTTCAGAAGTTTTCTTTCATTTAATGTTGTTTGCATTCATTTACAAGCCATCAGTGCAAGTTGTTGAGATGAAACTCTTTTCCCTGATTCATATAACTCATTTTTCTTAATACACATCTCAGAGCGTCAGTTCTTGACAAGATGCCTTGTTATAGAGAGTTTGTACAAAGTTGGTAATGATCAGTTAATCAGGAAACTTTTGACTATATATATATATATATTTTTTGTACCATTTACAAATACATCTCAAAGCACTATCAGTCAGTTTGTGTTTCTTTATTTTATCCATAGGAATTCTAATGAGAGATTTAGAGGAAAAAATGATAGCTTTACTTCCTTTCAAATCAAGAATTGTTAATTTTGTTTTCTTGCTAGCTAGTCAATGAAATAGTTTATAAGTTTAGGGAAGAGTTTTGATGATAAATCCAGAATGTTAGTTTGGTTTCTTTTCTATTGATCCTTATGTATATCATTGTAAATAAATACCTTATCTTATAGGCAGAGAGTTATTTCAATTTAGAAAGTAGTAACAATTATTAACATTTATAAGGCATCTCTTAATTTGACACGGTTCTTTAAAATACAGTCTCATTTAATTTATACAGGTATATGTGAAATAAGTCACATTTGCCTTGCCATTTTTACTGAAAAACTGAAATTTAATACCACATAGCTTGAAGTGATTTGGTTCTCAAGCCTTAATCTTCTAACTCCACATCCTGTACACTCTCCATAATGTCACACCACCTCTCAGTGAAATAAAGTATTCGATCAGGAATGGTCAACGAAGGGATTGAAAGCACATTGTGTGTTTTTGGAAATTTAATAGGATAGTTGAAAGTACAAGGTTGAGTCTAATGAATTGACTCTATCCATTAAGGAGAAAAGAAAAAAGTATCCAGAAAGAGCTAATGGAAGAATTTGGGAGGGCAGAGGTTAAAATTATCTACCATTATAATTACTATGGTCACAAAAATATTTTAAATGCCCCTGAAATTGAAAATAATAATCCTTATAAATTTAGATTTTTTACATTGATGAAGTCATTGTTCTTTTAAACATTGTTGATATTAAAGAAGTTTAAGCCATAGACTTGTCAATGAGTCATTGATACATTTTCCTTTAAATAGAGCTTTTTAATGAGAAAATTAAATTTTTCTTTACAATCTAAAAGACCTAGTTTAAAAGGTCTCTTTTAGGAACTTCCCTGATGGTTCAGTGGTTAAGACTCCATGCTCCCATTGTAGGAGGCTTGGGTCCAATCCCTTGTCCGGGGACTAGATCCCGCCTGCCACAACTGAGAGCCCTCATGCCTCTATTTAAAGGCCTGGTACAGCCAAAAAAATAAAATAACATCTCAAAGACAGTACTTTAAAAAGACCTAATTTAGATTGGATATATTTTTGCTGACATTCACTTGTTTTCAAGCATTATATTTGAACTTAAAATACCTCATACATCTACTTTCAAGATAAATGAGTAATGCTTGAAAGTATTTATTAAATAGAGTTGGTGTACTGTAAACTTTGAGAAAGATGAAGCTTCACTGAATGAAAGTGAAAATATTTATTATGTTAAAGAAATAGTTTCTTTATCTTTTAAATTCACTGTTCACATCTATTTATTATTTAATGTTAACACAAATGTTAAGTTCAGAATTTTTTCTAATGAAATTCATTTAAATATGCTAAAGAAACATGAGAACATTTCACCTTCTAAGCTCACAAAGTCAATGTTTGAAATCTAAAGAGATCTTTTACCAAATGTCCAGTGTATCCTCTCATTTCTGTTTCATTATAATAGCATCCCTATTATGAAAAACAACTCAATTTTATTCAGGGAAATAAAGTGTAGTTTTATTATTTGTTGTTGTTTAGTCTCTTAAGTTGTATCTGACTCTTTTGTGACCTCATGAGTAACCTTAGAGTCTCCTCTGTCCTTGGGGTTTCTCAGGCAAAAATACTGGAGTATTTTTCCTTCTCCAGGGGATCATCCCAACTCAGGGATAAAACCCATGTCGTCTGGATTGCAGGCAGACTCCTTAGCACTGAACCACTTCGTATTCTTTGCCTTAATATTTAGCTTTACTGTGAAGAAGTTCAGAATTTGGCTTTCAAATGTTTTTATGACTATTTTCCACATTTAGAATGTAATAGAGATACGATGGACACTTTGTATATTTACAGAAAATCCCTATGTGCATATATGAAAAGTATTCTAACTAAAGCACACCTTTTTCACATTTTCCTAGGGTTGTGATTATAGACCACATGTCATCTTTAAAAAAGGTGTCCAGATCCTACATTCTACCTAAATATTTGCCAAATAAATGATAATAGTTAACACTTTACAGTATATCCTTAATGTCTATATTCTTTTCACCAATGAAGTTGCAGTCAGAAAAAAGAAAAAGAAAGAGGAGAAAATTTGATGATAGGACTCCCCTGGTGGTCCAGTGATTGAGACTTCACCTTCAAATGCAGGGGGGTGCAGGTTCAATCCCTGTTCAGGGAGCTAAGATCTCATAAACCAAAATGTAAAACAGAAGGAATATTGTAATACATTCAGTAAAGACTTTAAAAATGGTCCACATCAAAAAAATGTTTTCTAAAAGATAATTTGATGTTGATTACATGTATCTGCCAATGCAAGATTAGAATTCATCTTAGACATTGTGTTATTTTTCATCATTGCTTTGCAGGAGTGTTGTGGTCCCTGTTAAGAAGCCACCTCCGGGTAGCTTAGCTGTAACCACTGTAGGAGCCACTGCTGCTGGAAGTGGGCTGCCAGCAGGCAGCACCTCTAATATATTTGCTGCTACTGGAGCTACACCAAAAAGTATGATTAATACAACAGGTATTGTCCTTATCTATTTTTGTGATACTTCATCTTTTTCTTTCTGTTTTCCGTATCTTCATTTTTTCTGCTGATTTGATCTTAAAAATTAAAATACTGTGATCATTTTAAGATTATCTTAATCTTTAAGAAGATAATTCTTCATGTTTTCAGATTTTGTAATTCTAGAGTAAACTTTTTAGACACTTCTTGAGAACATATGGGTTTTGTTTTGAGTCTTCTCAAAACAAGTTGCTGTTTACTTTCATAGTGAATTCAGATTGCTGAAGGATATTTGGGGAGCAAAACCAAGAGATAATTTGAACACTGACATTTGATATGTAAAAATTAGTAAACTGTATCAAGAAATCAAAATATACTATATATATTAGTGCCAGCAAATGGATTTAGTGACATTTTCTGGTTGAAACCTAATATATACTTTTCACAAAGCTCCCCTAAGAACCTTGACGATATGCAAGAGCCTCAACTTAACAAAAAGTGCATGTGAATAAGAACCATTGTTTGACATTGTATTAATTTATATACTTAGATTACAATTATATCCATTCATTGTCCAACATTTTCCTAAAAATTCTAGAAACAGAAAAATTCCAAATCACTACAAATTTTAAAAGCCTGCCTAAAATAACTTTTTTCTTTTTTTGTAAATTTCCAGAAATGTTCCTGTTGATTATTAGCTAAATAAATCCTTACCCAAATCTTTGTGATTCCATTTTAGGTATTTACACAACGCAAGATGATCCCTGACTTTCCTTCCCTGACTATAGTAGCCTTCTCTTCTCCAAACTGTATAGCCTTGAACTTTTCCATCTATTATCATTACTTAGATTATTCCCATTTTTATTAATTTCATAGCTCTTTTTGCTTTCTGTATTTATCTTGTTTATCATACCACCTGAGTCCTGACACATCATGAACAGCACACTTATGGGGTTGTAGTAAGTAGAATGTACTCTATGAAGCATATTTATGTTAGCAAATAAACATCATTAATGGCATTGTGTTAAAGAACAAAACATTTTTGATTTATACATATTAAAACAAGTATTTATATCTGACTTGTTTGAAAACTTCTTATATAAAGTTTTTTTTTCTATCTAGTTTATAGTCTTACTCTTTATACTCATTCTGCTTTCTAGAAGAAGGAATAAAAATGTTTTCCTTTTACCAAAATGTAAACTCAGAAAAGTGTTAATAACTTAAAAAAAAGCCAATGTAGTAGGAAAAAAAAATCTGCATTTGGTGTTTATGGACTAAATTCTTACTTTTAAGAGTAAAAAGCAAATAATTTCTTTTTTATCTTTATTTGAAACAAGGTATATTTTCCTTGAATTTCTATTCTATTAATTAATAATAGATTTAGAAAGTGATGGTAGCCCAAGGTCTAGTGATAGTATAAAACATATATTACAATAAAAATGTAGGCAATGAATATCCTCCTTAGAAATACATATGTACAGATACACAAAAACACACACACAAATAAACTGAGGGTCAGCATCTAAAGTGGACCCAAAACTAGTTTAGATTTTGGCACAAACATGCTGTGTAAGTGTTGTTGTGAAATCCAAGTTTTATGGGTATTAGTGTAAGATACGATAAAGATAAGATAACATTTAGGAACACTAGATGTCCCTCAACTCCACAGCTATTTAATATACTTATATGGTATAACATAGGAAAATCTGTTCTAAAATGGCATCTTCATATCGTTGAGGAAACTCATTATTTTAAAATTGGGTACAAATATACTTATTATAGCCCTTCTTAAGCTATCATATTATTAAAATAAGCATTGATGCTGCAGGGCCACAAATTTATGTCGAGACAGTTTATTGCTAATTATATCTTAAATGATGAAAACTAAAAGTATAACAACATAGCAATAAAAAAGCAGATAATATTTTCACATCTAAATTTGCTTTGTTTTATCAGCCTCATTTTATCTAAAATTGTTTTCATTTGTTGATGTCTTTTATTTATGCCCCATTTGTAATCTGTAGTTTTGTTAGCATAATATAAGTAAATAAACTGTTTCAATGCAATAGCTATTTTTAATAATTATAGTTATTAATGTTCCTTTGGCCAAATGATTTTTTTAATGGCCTAATTCTATTTTGAAATTCAGATTAATTTTTTTTTCAAACTCAGTAATGATGTAATGAAAATTATTTTGTTTAATAAGTTTGTATTCAAGGCTAAAAACTATTATTTTGGGAACAGGTGCCGTGGATTCGGGGTCTTCGTCTTCTTCCTCGTCTTCTAGTTTTGTGAATGGTGCTACCAGCAAAAACCTTCCAGCTGTACAAACTGTTGCTCCAATGCCAGAAGATTCAGCTGAAAACATGAGGTATACATAACTAATAGTTTTTTTTCACTCATTTCACTCCATTCCTTGCAGCTCAAAAAGAGTGAAACACAGTATTCATTAAGCTTAAAGATACAGTTAAGAATTCTTAAGAATGTTTAAGTATGTATTTCATTGTTTTGATATTTTAGATAGTTATTCATTATGTGAAAATCATGTATTATGTTTCAGAGTCTAAACTGAGAAGTCTTGAATGCTTTTCAAGATCTCTTTCCTGAATTTCTAATCCACTGTTATATAGCACTTGTTACAGTTTCATGTAAGGTAGAAACATGCACATGTGGCACCATGATAAAATTGGACATCTTTGGTGGGGTGGTGAATTTAAAATATAGACTTTCAGAATAGAGTTATATGTAACATATATAACTGGAGGTAGAACCACCAAACATTAACTTTTGTATCTTGATAAATAGATAAAAATGATTTGTAGTAACATATCAAACAACATGGGCTTCCCTGGTGGCTCAGTGGTAAAGAATCAACCTGCAATGCAGGAGCCACGGGAGACTCAGGTTTGATCCCTGGGTTGGGAAGATCCCCTGGAGGAGAAAATGGCAACCCACCCCAGTATTCTGGCCTGGAGAATCTCATGGACAGAGGAGCATGGTGGGCTACAGTCCATGGAGTTGCAAAGAGTCGGACACGACTGAAGCAACTTAGCATGCATACATCAAAAAACATTCCTGGAAGAGATTGGCCCACATCCTTGGTGTTAAATTGCACACAGACACACACACACACATTTATTCATGTTCTTAATTGAAGTATCACACAAATACAGAATATAAAAGCTCAATGAAAGAATGATGTTGTGTCAACACCACTCAAGGCAAGAAACAGTTTTACAAGTAGCTCAAAGCCCCCATCTTGTGTGCCTTTTTCTGACTCTATTCTTGCTCTTCTTCAAATCCATCACTGACTTAAAACTGGATTAATTTTGTCTTTTTTGAATTTTATATGAATGGAATTGCACAGTATGGGTTCTTTTTGTCTCTGGCTTCTTCTGTTCAACATTACGTTTCTGAGATTTTATCTGTATTGCATGTAGCAATAGTTTTGTTCATGTTTATTCCTTAGTGGTGTATACTACAATTTATTAATCTGTTTTACTGATGATGGGCATTTGGAATTTTCCAGGTTTGCACTATTACAAGTAATGCTACTTTTTTACATAACAATGCTGTTTGTACATTAGGTATACTACACGTTTGTATGCATATATGTTGGGTAAATAACGGAGTGGAATTGCTGATTCATATGTGTATGTTCAGTTTTACTGGATAAAGCCAAATGTTTTCCAGAGTGGTTGATGCAAGTTTACTAAACTCAATTAGCACCTTACGAAAGTGCCTAATTCGTTACATCTGTGACAGTACTTACTTAGTGTCACTTTTCCATTCTGGCCACTTGGTGGAAGTACAGTGGCGGCGGCTGTTCAGTCGGTAGGCTGTGTCTGACTCTCAGGCTGCAGTTCGCCAGGCTCCTTTGTCCTCTGCTGTCTCCTAGAGTTTGTTCAAATTCATGTCCATGGAGTCGGCGGCATTCCACTATATTTTCTGTTTGTATTTTTCTGGTACTTAATGAGGTCGGGCACCTTCTTATATATTATAAAAGCATGTGTAATATCATATATTGTAATATCTTATGTAATTCTTAACTATCTTAGATAGTTATTACATAACTATCTAAAATATCAAAACAACTAATTACATGCTTAAACATTCTTAAGAATTCTTAACTGTAAGTTCCTCAATTGGACTTTTTGGCATGGACAAAGGGCCAATATTTATTGGTCCTTTGGTTTTCCTTTTTTGTGATTTCTCTGTCAAAATCTCTTACTCATTTTAAAACATTGAGTTATCTTCTCCTTAATTTGTAAAGGTTTTTCTCCTTGTGCATTTTGAAAATGAGCCCTTTGATGGTTATATGTTTTATGTATATACCTTCTCCCATACTGTGGCTTTTCATACCATCTGTGGAATCTGTTTTCATCAAAAGAGGCTGTAAATTTTAATGAAACTCAATTTATCAAGTTTTTTGGGTTTTCGTACTTTCTGTGTTGTAGATGAGATCTTTGCCTGAATTTTCCCCAACACATCCTCTGGCTGCTTTATTTTTGCTTTTTATATTGAGATGCATAGTTCATCTGGAACTGAGTTTTGTGAATTTTATGAAGCAGAAGTGATATGGATGTTAAGATGACCCAGGACCATTTATTTGAGAAACTCTCCTATCTCCTTTGCTCTGCCACTTTTGTCATAAATCATGTTCCTATGTAATGGATTCTGCTTTGGCACTCCATTCTGCCGAGTTTGTCTATCCTTGTGACATACTGTCATAATTAGCTTTAGGTTTAAGAAAGATAAGTATCTGGGTAAATATTGTTTTCCTATCGTGTCCTTTTTATTCCAAGGAAGGCTAAACTACTGTTGATGCTGTGCATTTCCATTTAAATTTTAGATTCAGTATATCAATATCACTTCATGGCCAATAGATGGGAAAACAGTGGCTGACTTTATTTTTCTGGACTCCAAAATCACTGCAGATAGTGATTGCAGCCATGAAATTAAAAGATGCTTACTCCTTGGAAGGAAAGCTATGACCAACCTAGATAGCATATTAAAAGGCACAGACATTACTTTGCCAACAAAGGTCCATCTAGTCAAGGCTATGGTTTTTCCAGTGGTCATGTGTGGATGTGAGAGTTGGATTATAAAGAAAGCTGAGCGCAGAAGAATTGATGCTTTTGAACTGGGGTTGCAGAGTCAGATACAACTGAGCAACTGAACTGAACTGATAATATCCATATTAAAATCAACTTGCTGGAATTTTAAGAAGGAATGGAATTTATAGATCTATGGCAACTAGTGTTATATATCATCTATAGATCTCTTGTAGTGTTGTTATTTCCAAACTATAAGTAACTTCTTTTCCTTCCATTTCTTTAGTTTAAAAGAACAAATTTCCAATTGACTAGATGGAACTTTGTTGGCAAAGTAATGTCTCTGCTTTTTAATATGCTGTCCAGGTTGGTTATAGCTTTACTTTCAAGGGGCAAGTGTCTTTTAATAGCATGGCTACAGTCACCATCTGTAGTGATTTTGAAGCCCAAGAAAATAAAGTCTCTCACTGTTTCCATTGTTTCCCCATCTATTTACCATGAAGTGATGGGACCAGACACCATGATCTTAGTTTTTTGAATGTTGAGTTCTAAACCACGTTTTTCTCTCTCTTCTTTTACTTTCATCAAGAAGCTCTTTAGTTCTTCTTTGCTTTCTGCCATAAGGGTAGTGTCATCTGCATAGCTGAGGTTATTGATATTTCTCCTGGCAATCTTGATTCCAGCTTGTGCTTCATCCAGCCTGGCATTTCACATGATGTAGTCTGCATTTAAGTTAAATAAGCAGGGTGACAATATACAGCCTTGACATACTCCTTTCCTGATTTGGAACCAGTCCATTGTTCCACGTCTGGTTCTAACTGTTGCTTTGTGCCGTGCATACAGATTTCTCAGGAGGCAGGTAAGGTAGTCTTGTATGCCCATCTCTTTCAAAAGTTTCCACAGTTTGTTGTGATCCACACAGTCAAAGGCTTTAGCATAGTCGATGAAGCAGAAGTAGATATTTTTCTTAAATTCCCTCCCTTTTTCTCTGATTCAAAGGATGTTAGCTGTTTGATCTCTGGTTCCTCTGCCTTTTCTAAATACAGCTTGAACATCTGGAAGTTCTTGGTTCACATACTGTTGCAGCCTAACTTGAAGAATTTTGAGTATTACTTTGTTGGCATGTCAGATGAGTACAATTGTGGGGTAGTTTGAGCATTCTTTGTCATTGCCTTTCTTTGGGATTGGAATGGTTTGACCTTTTCCAGTCCTGTGGCTACTGCTGAGTTTTCCAAATTTCCTGGCATATTACGTGCAGCACTTTCACAGCATCATCTTTTAGAATTTAAAATAACTCAGCTGGAATTCCATCACCTCCATGAGCTTTGTTTGTAGTGATGCTTCCTAAGGCCCACTTGACTTCACATTTCAGAATGTCTAGCTCTGGGTGAGTGATCACAGCTTGGTGGTTATCTGGGTCATGAAGATCTTTTTTGTATTGTTCTTCTGTATATTCTTGCCACCTCTTCTTAATATCTTCTGCTTCTGTTAGGTCCATACCATTTCTGTCCTTTATTGTGCTCATCTTTGCATGAAGTATTCCCTTGGTATCTCTAATTTTCTTGGCAATCACTAGTCTTTCCCATCCTATTGTTTTCTTCTTTCTTTGCATTGATCACTTAAGAAGGCTTTCTTTTCTCTCCTTGCTATCCTTTGGAACTCTGCATTCAGATCAACCATCTTGTCTTTGCAACTACTTGTAGTTTTCGTGTTATTTATTATTAGATGTTTGAGATTTCACCAGTGAAGCAATCTCTGGAATTTTTTTTTTTTTTTGGACTGAGGATGTTTTACAGATTAAACTCTTTCAGTGGTTAGATGACTATTCAGATTTTCTGTTTTCTTTTTACATCAGTTTTGGTCATTTGTGACCAAAATTCAGCCATTTTATCTACTTTGTAAGATTTATTGTCATAAAGTTTTTCATAATTTTATTATTTTCAAATACTTGTAGGAACTCTCTAATGATGTTTCCTCTTTCATCTTTGAATTTGTTATTAACATTTTATGCCTTTTCTCATTTTAGCATTAGTAGAGTACCATTGATTTTTTTCAATACTGTAATTTCCCTCCAGAAAGTAGGTATTTGATTCATTACTTCTTTTTCTGTTTTAATTACATCAAATATTAATTTTTAAAAATTTCCTTTTTTTATTTCAGGTTTGCTTAATTTTGTTTTTCTAGAGTCTTAAGGTGCATTGTAGGTCAGGAGTCTATAAACTACCACCCAGGGCCCAAATCTGCCTGTCATAATATCTTTTATACACTTTTATTGGAATACAGTAGCATCATTTGTTTATTTATTGCCTGTGACTGC